TTTGGGGGGGGGGGGGGGGGGTTATTTCGTGACGCCGTGATCGACCTTTTTTTTTGTCCGTGAACCGTGATGTACGTGTGCTGAAAAACTGTTCTGTGAATCGTGATTGAAGTGCACTCCGTGAAACCTGAACTGCCAAAATCCTCGATTTAACGTAACGTTTTTGACATTTTGTACCACCTCTATTTTTGAGAAGCGTGAAATAAACGTAAATATTTGTTTCGTGACTAGTGAAATTATTGTTCGTCAACTCGAGATGAGATTCAAGATGACGCTGACGTTTACGACCGATTAAGACTGGGGTGGAATCTGCGTTTTTCCCGCCGAAATAGGAAAACCTTTAGCTTTCGCAACGGCAACGTCGTCACTTGTCGCTTGCACTTTGCAAAACAAAACTCGAAGGCTTGACGATGAATTCATTTAAGAACGTTCGGGAATTGCTCTTACTTAGCTATGTTATTAACAACGTCGTTTCTAATAGAGAGTTTGTCCTTTATGACGCTTATCAGTCCAAAAATCCCGACTTTAATTACCAACAATATGACCCGTTCAATCTCGATAACATCTAGCCTGAATTTCATCCGATTACTTCGAGTCGTTATTACTCCCTCAGTTGTTGAGAGGAGAAAACGACTCGAAGCAATCGGATGAATTTGAGGCTAGATAACATCGATTCAGCCGAATGTAAAGCAGAGTTCCGCATTGAAAGAGCCGACCTTCCTACATCACTGACAACCATTTCCCTGAGCATCAACACGTCGTGTTCATCGGTCCACTCCATGGGCGCTCTACATAAAGTATAAAACACAAATTAGCAAATAACCAGCAAATAACACATATTTGAGCATTCCGCCGAGTTCCCGGCCGTCCTTGTAAGGCCAAGACTTCAGTAAATCGAAGGAAAATTCCCTATAAGCTTCATTTGACTTCACCAAGTCTTTTCTTTACTCACTTACCTACTTGAAATGAAGTCCAAATTGTGTAAAATTCCTCGTAATACTTATCGGTACTCACATGGCTACTTAAAGCCACACAAACTTATCACTTAGTAGGTTAGCCATCAGCGTCAAACAAGATGTATCTAGGTACACTTTACTAGATTTTACCTTGAGTTAACTCGTTCAATGAACTCACTTTAATTTTGATGCGAGCTGTTTGTTGTCGTTGTTCGCGTTTGCAGCCATGCCTCAGATTAAGACGCATATAGAGAATTATACTTCATGGAAAGTGCTGGCGTGCGGTATTTACGCACAAGTTGTTGACGTATCAGAAATCGAACGGGTGAGCGCAGCGAACGAGTTTTCTAATGCATCAGTCAATTCCACCTGCGCCCAGCTCCCCCCCGGGCATTAGCATTTTTTTTGCCTTGGATGGCAAATTCCCGGGGTTGGGGACTCTTGAGCTGTCAAATCCGCCGGGGTGGGGACGAAAAAAGAGGGCAAATGCCCCGTCCTCCGTCAACACTGCAACATT